TCTATTCTATTAACATTTCTCTATTCAGAGGGCCCCCTGCCTGTCTTTGCCTAGGGCCCCAGATTTCCTAAATCCGCCGCTGGTAGTGACATGCAATCACTGACTATTTCGTGCATTCAGCAGCAGTCCCTCAATGTTTTAGGCTTTTTCTTTTTAATCGAGCCGCTTGTAAAGTTTGACATCATGGAGTCATTTTTATAAAGTAAACACAGTAAGAAAGTAGAGATTGATTAAACTGATGCTGAAATAATCAGCACCGAATTTAGCCTTAAGAAACCTGCGTCCACTTCTGAGAAGAACTTTAAAGAAAACACAAAATCAAAGATTAAGAGAAAAGAAGAGATAAGGTAACTTGTGAATGACTTTGGGGGACCGCAGACAATCCTATCAGGGGCCATAAAAGGCCCTCGGGTCTCACTTTGGGCCCCCTGCATTACCAGCTATGACAGATCGATGCTTACTTTCGCAGCTCCCTCTCCTCCTCCCATTTCTGCTGCTTCAGCAGCTTCTTCATCTGCCTCTTGGACAGGCTCTGCTCCTCAGTGCCGCTCCGGTTCTCGCTCCTTTCCCCGGAGGAGGCTGCAGCTTCCCCGCCAGCATCAGCCATCTGGGCCCGCTAGCCGCTCCCTGCGGTGGCCGCTAAAGCAACAAACAAAATAACCTTCAAATCTCCACTAAATTAACGGAAAACTCTCCGCAAGCCTCACATGTTTTGGGCGCATGTGTGACGTCAGTAAGTGGCGACAGATGATGCCTTCAATAGCGTCTGAATTAACAGTGTTCAAATCAAAAACCGCTCTAACTCAACCCTATGGAAGAGTAATAACCCTAAATAATAAATCTATTTTCAAAAAAGGAATGCTTTAACAAAGACATTATTTATTATAGAGAGTTATTGGATGAAAACAGAGATATTTTAAATCATTCCGATTTTTTTTATATATAATGTAAATTGTTCTCTAAGAGTACGACAGAGTATTATTACCAGGTTAGAGTTTTTTTATTTATTTTGAAAATAAAGTCGTAACATTACTAGAATAAAGTCATCATACAACTCGTTTCAAAAAGAAAGCTTGGAGCTCCGCCCAGCTTATGACCGGTGTAGGTACCAGATTGACTCGGGCTGCCAGATTGACTCGGGGGCCTGCGCCTTTTGATGACGTCACAATACGTAATTGTTTTAACGTTTGCACAATTGCGCAAAACATTTTGATTGGTCTGGACAGCTTACTAAAGTAATTATAGCGGGGTGTAGGTTTTATTCGAAAGCGG